ATATAACGCAGCTAATCCTATTTCAGGTGGTGATACTTATCCAAGTATCGATAAGTTACAAGAAAGGTCCCAAGTCCAACGACTTCCTTGACCAAGCCATAACATTAGAAGCTGGATCTAGAATAGGTTTATGTAACTGAATAGTAATTTTGTGGATTTGAATAATTTTTTTTCATAATAATCCATGACAGTATCTGAGGCGCATAGTTGATAAGCTCTCAAAATAGGGCGAAACTGCCGTCTAGTGCTTTTCTGCATTTTGTTGATGTTTCATTATTCAAATACACAAAGAAAATTACTATTCAGTTCTATATATATATATATATATATATATATATATATATATGGTGGCGTAGAGATAGAGAAAGATACACAGATCGATGCATGCACACACAGATAGATAGACAGATAATAATTAGCATTATATTTAGTGGTTACAGGTGTTTCATTAAACAGGCTTTATTTTTTAAAAAAAATGTGTGTGGTTGATGTTTGCAGGATCAATCCCGCGTTCTCTTTTTTATTGGAGAAACCACCTTCAAGCTCGATGTATCTTAGAAATGTCTGTTTGGCACGTAACATTATATATATATATATATATATATATATATATATATATATATATATATATATTACGTGCTAATACCCTTGGGAAAGGTATGTATCCTCTTCATCTCCCTCCAGCTATGGGTAAAATAGCAGGACAGACTGGGTTCTATAGCCTTGATGGCAACTGGTCTAGGAGAAGGACAACTCTGAATTCAAAAAGCGGAGGGTCGTTTGGGAACCTTGTGGCATGCATTCGGTGCACCAGGTTTCTGTATTCGTCCCTCCAAAAAAAGTGTGGCTGGTCCTGCACAAGGCCTTCACCACTATAAACAAATCTCATGTGCCGGTGTCGGGATGTCGGTTTCTTGGGGACTTATCGGCTTGACCCTCATACGTCGAACGCGACGGGAGAGTCGATTATATATATGTGTGTGTGTGTGTGTGTGTGTGTGTGTGTGTAATGTTACGTACCAAACAAAGGACATTTCTTAGGTATATATATATATATATATATATATATATATATATATATATAGGACATGTTTCGTTGTGTAGTTTAGAGATATTATGTCTACTTATTTTCGCTAAGATCCTCTCATACTTGCGGATACGTTATTTTGATGCCATTGAAGGAAAAGAGAAAATCGTCGTGTTTATACATATTTGTTTTTTTTTTTCTACGAAGTTTGAACATATCCATGTTATCATCAGGGTACGGTTTATAATAAAATAAACATTATTGTATCCGTTATTGTCAGAGACAAATTGTTGTATTATCTGAAAGTAGAATTTCTTACAAATGGAGTGAGGAACGCTATGTCAGATAACACAACAATATATATATATATATATATATATATATATATATATATATATATATATATATATATGTTTTCCGGTAACCCATTATTGTTGTAGCAACAATGATTATTTATGGAGCACTATAAACTTCTACAGTTTGGATATTTTGTATCCTTCTTCTCATTTAACAGCCAATATAGTTAAGGAGCATCTTTTTTATTGTTAATTCATGTTTTTCTAGATGAAAATCATTGTGACGCCAACGAATACTCGTTGTCACTTTCGTAATGCTGGTTGTAGAAGAGATTTTGTAATCGCAGATACAGCTACATTAAGGCCGTTGAACAATACTAGTGTCAGACGCCTTCGAATATCACCCGCACTAATAGTATGAGTAATAATACTCGCTCGAAAATTAACCACTGAATAGTAATCCGTATAGTGATGATAATCACTAAAGACCCAACACGGTCGGATATGGCACAGGGCCGAGTTTATAGTGGGGTATCCGAGCCTGTACTCGATCCAAAATTAGCCGCAGATCCCGTAAAACGGGGGCGGGTAGCTGCTCCCGAGACGAGACTGTTCTTCGGCGTAGCCTCCTCTGGGGATCATCTCTGCGCGGAGACAGAGAGTTTAACCAGCACGCTTTCGAAATAATACGAAGAGTAAGCTATTCACTAATCACCCCACGCGGCCTGGTGTTTATTGTGAGGCATCCGAGCCCGTAGGCTCAGCGAAAACTTCCAAGTTGACCCCGTAAAAACGGGGTCGGTTAGCTGTACCCGAGACCAGACTCTACCCTTCGACATAGACTCATCTGGGAATCCTCTATGCTCGAAGTCAAAGAGTTTGACCAGCACACTTACGAATTCACCGGGTAGTGTTGATATTCACTAACCACCCCACGCGGTTGGATGTGGCACAAGGCTGAGTTTATTGTGGGGTGCCCGAGCCCGTAAGCTCGGGCAAAAAATCCCCGTTTACCAACCCAGACGAGACTCTGCTCTTTGGCAGAGCCTCGTCTGTGTTCCTCTCTGCCCAGAGAACAAACACACAAGTAATTCGGAGAGTGATGATATTCACCTACCGCCCCACGCGATCGGATGTGGCACAAGGCCGAGTTTATTGTGGGGTACTCGAGCCCGTAGGCTTGGGCAAAAATTCCCCGTAGATCCCGTAAAAAACGGGGTCGGGTAGCTGTCTACCACCCCAGATGAGACTCTGCCCTTTGGCATAGCCTCGTCTGGGTTTCTCTCTGCTCGGAGGCAGTTCGACAAGCACACCTCCGAAGAAATTCGGAGAGTGATCAATTAGACGCCACGCTAATTGCCATATATACATTTCCTTTACCATCACGTGATCTACTTATTTAAAATGGGATCGCCTGTGTTTGCTCTATAGTGATCTATGTTGAAACTCCAATGTTGCCAGTGACACTTTATCCCTCTATAACAAAATAGAACCATAATTTTGAGATGCCTAATCTATAGAGTTAATAATGGAAAGAGACGACAACATTCCATTTCCATTTCCTGGGTCTCATATTTATTCGAAGTTAAGCAATGTCGAAGCTGGTTAGTATCTAGATGGCTAACCGTTTGCGAATATCAAGTGCAGTAAGCTTGGATGTGCGGGTGGCGAAAGGATAACGGCTCAGAATTCGAAATCAGAGAGCCGAGTTCTTTACTGTTAATTAATGCGTGTCTAGATGAAAATTTATTCATCACTTTTCCAAGGGCATTACTGCGACATTACTGCAAATGACCCGGTCAGAATTTTAACTCGATACATTGATTCAACTACTGTTTGCCGAGCATTAACAATACAACTAAAAGCACATTTCGTACTGTTTTATTTTCTTTTACTTTTCGACACATTTTGGCCGACCCATTCAGCCGTATTTGGCAGGCATAAAATCATAAAAATAAAGGTGGGACGTTATTTTTAATGAAGCATATTTAAGGCGAATGTTTAAACAAAAAAAGAAAGAAAGAAAGAAAATGATGGCGCATGGTATACGAACTGAATTTATTCCTTGCATAGTACTCTTCTGGGGTTGTAAATAAGCAACGAAATATATCTTTTATTCCCAGTCTTGTCTGTTAATCAAATTCTACGTCCTTACAAAGATACGTTTCATGCAGATCTAACATTCTGCATTTTTTAAAAAGATCTCCGAAAATACGATATGAACAGAAACAGGCCAAGTTCTTGGGTACGTTCTCATCTGGCCACAAGATTTTATGGTTATTGATTCTGCAAAATGTGCATCCCTTTTTTCTTTGCCCTGAGCATTGTTTTCAGTATAATAAGTCCTACGCAGCTAGGGTTGAATCTAAGCGAAGATGAAAAGAGAGGCGAAAGTAAGCAGAGAACAGGCTGCTTTTTCCTGTGGGACACGTATAATGGGTTTCAGATGCAAGCACATTGTCTATTCCGTTAAATTTCCTTTCAAAGGCGACTATCAATTACGGTACGGAGGGGCAGAGAAAATAATCTCGAAGCGAATGGCATTCGAAATGATAAGAATAAGATTATGGCTCACCTATCTTTGGCGATAAAATGGCCACCGTAAAGGATGATAATGGCTGTAAGAGCCTTTTATCCCTACAATTGCAGAATTGTTTACTTAATTGATTATTTATCCGTGCTCTTCTCTGTCAAACATCGCGTCTGCCGTGCCTGTTAATGTCCCAGCGATGTGCAAGTAGTAAACACTGAAGCTAAAATCAAAACACTTAGAAATTATAAAAAGTAATTTTTTACAGCAAAAATACCAGCAATACATTTTTATAAAAAAAGAAATTACCGATAATACATTTTGCAGTGAAATTACCAGCAATACATTTTTTAAATTAACTACAATAGATTTTTTATCATCTATATATAATATATATATATATATATATATATATATATATATATATATATATATATATAGTCCTTCAGGAATTCTACAGACTAAATTTGTTGTATTAGTACGACGACACATGCGCATAACAGTGGGGTGTTGGTAATTTTGGAATTTGTTTTTTATCGAGCCGAATCGATTTAGAGACTTTTTCTTTTTCTTTACATCATTTTTGTAAATAGGTATTCTACACTGTGATATTAGAGGATCTGCCTTAATCACAAGGTCATCTTTAGTAAATTTACGCCCTAGCTCTTACAACATTTCTCCATTCCTGACAGATCTTTTAATATCACAGTGTTGAATACCCACATATAAAAGTGATGAAAAGAAAAAGAAAAACATTCTAAATGAATGCGGCTAGATGAAAAAAAAAAACCTAAAATTCCCATCACCCCTTTCTGTCATGCGCATGTGTAGTCTTATCAACGTCACAAATGGAGTACTGAAGGACGAAACGCTTCACAAGTATACTTCTTCCACTTTCTTATACAACTTCCCCAATTCTGTTCTTGAGATATAAAAATATATATATATATTGTTATCTCATATATAGAGATAGATAGATAGATAGGGAAAGAGCGAGGAAGAGAAATAATAATAATAATAATAATAATAATAATAATAATAGTAATTGAAAACTAAAAAAACATATCAGTTTTACAGATTCCTGTCTTTTACGGGAATTTCACGGAAGTTCAGGTGATGATTTTCAGGGAAACCAATGCGCATGTTATCAATGAATGTGGTCGTCGTCCGATAGATAGATAGATAAGTAGGTAGGTAGATATGAATAGACTGAGATAGATATGAATAGACTAAGTTAGTGACGAATAGACTTATACAGATATATATATATATATATATATATATATATATATATATATATATATATAGAGAGAGAGAGAGAGAGATAGTCTCTTTGTAACATGTATGTGAACAATTTGAAATCGATGAAAATAGTTAAAACTATATCAACTTAGAAAGAAAGAGAGAATATAGATAGATAGATAGATAGATAGATAGATAGATAGATAGGGAAAGAGCGAGAAAAATAATAATAATAATAATAATAATAATAGTAATAATAATAATTGAAAATAAAAAAAAACATATCAGTTTTACAGATTCCTGTCTTTTATGGGAATTTCACGGAAGTCCAGGCGATAATTTTCAGGGAAACCAGTGCGCATGTTTTCAATGAATATGGTCGTCGTCCGTCTACGTAAAATGTCATCCGGATGTTCCATTATCTTTGATGGATTCTTTTTTTTTTCTTTTTTTTTTTTTTAGAATTGCAATGATACTATCGTTCATGACAATTCCTCAAACCTCAAACACAATTCCGCAAGGGTCTGTTTCAACATTAGACATTCTTATCGTCATGTAAAATAGAATTTGATACAAATGTGAATGGAAGTTGATGCCGTTTTCTTATATCCTTTATTTTTCAATTCATTGAAGCGCATTAGACACTTGCACATTCTGCCAGGTGTAGCTCAATACGAAAGAAAATGGCGTGATGACGAGTATATTCTCCAAAAGGACAGGGTGCTCCTATAAATATTTCAGTAAAGGATTCGCCAAAAGGGTCATATTTGTTCCCGGCTTGGTGTGAAGGAACATTCTGTATAGCTGTTGCAAGAAATACCTAAAAATAGCGATATTCAGTAGAAATGTAAATAAAAATTATATCCACCTTAAACAGAAAAAAAAAGATTATTCCATAAAATCTCCCTCAGCAATGAGAACAATCCCGATGTGACCTGGAAAACATCTGCTGGCCGCATCTGGTGTTTCTAATTCATGCGGTCTCTCAGCTCCACGATAACCGCCTCTGGAAACGATAGCTTCTTGTCCGGATCAGGCGTTTCTAGGTCATGTAGTGCATCACGGTCTTGATACCAACTCAGAAACAAAAGCATCCCCGGGGGAAAGTGTTCCTAGTTTATGTTCGCCATCACGTTCACGCCATCTCGGAAGAAAGGCATTCCCAGCCCAGGTGTTTCTAGTTCATGCTGACCATCAGGCCCACGATGCCATCTCGGAAGAAAGGCATTCCCAGCCCAGCTGTTTCTAGTTCATGTTGACCATCAGGCCCACGATGCCATCTCGGAAGAAAGGCATTCCCAGCCCAGGTGTTTCTAGTTCATGTTGACCATCAGGCCCACGATGCCATCTCGAAAGAAAGGCATTCCCAGACCAGCTGTTTCTAGTTCATGCTGACCATCAGGCCCACGATGCCATCTCGAAAGAAAGGCATTCCCAGACCAGGTGTTTTCTAGTTCATGCTGACCATCAGGCCCACGATGCCATCTCGGAAGAAAGGCATTCCCAGTCCAGCTGTTTCTAGATCACGTTGACCATCAGGCCCACGATGCCATCTCGAAGAAAGGCATTCCCAGACCAGCTGTTTCTAGTTCATGCTGACCATCAGGCCCACGATGCCATCTCGGAAGAAAGGCATTCCCAGACCAGCTGTTTCTAGTTCATGTTGACCATCAGGCCCACGATGCCATCTCGGAAAAAGGCATTCCCAGACCAGCTGTTTCTAGTTCATGTTGACCATCAGGCCCACGATGCCATCTCGGAAGAAAGGCATTCCCAGACCAGGTGTTTCTAGTTCATGTTGACCATCAGGCCCACGATGCCATCTCGGAAGAAAGGCATTCCCAGCCCAGGTGTTTCTAGTTCATGCTGACCATCAGGCCCACGATGCCATCTCGGAAGAAAGGCATTCCCAGCCCAGCTGTTTCTAGTTCATGTTGACCATCAGGCCCACGATGCCATCTCGAAAGAAAGGCATTCCCAGCCCAGGTGTTTCTAGTTCATGCTGACCATCAGGCCCACGATGCCATCTCGAAAGAAAGGCATTCCCAGCCCAGGTGTTTCTAGTTCATGCTGACCATCAGGCCCACGATGCCATCTCGAAAGAAAGGCATTCCCAGCCCAGGTGTTTCTAGTTCATGCTGACCATCAGGCCCACGATGCCATCTCGGAAGAAAGGCATTCCCAGACCAGCTGTTTCTAGATCACGTTGACCATCAGGCCCACGATGCCATCTCGGAAGAAAGGCATTCCCAGACCAGCTGTTTCTAGTTCATGCTGACCATCAGGCCCACGATGCCATCTCGGAAGAAAGGCATTCCCAGACCAGCTGTTTCTAGATCATGTTGACCATCAGGCCCACGATGCCATCTCGGAAGAAAGGCATTCCCAGCCCAGCTGTTTCTAGTTCATGTTGACCATCAGGCCCACGATGCCATCTCGGAAGAAAGGCATTCCCAGACCAGCTGTTTCTAGTTCATGTTGACCATCAGGCCCACGATGCCATCTCGAAAGAAAGGCATTCCCAGCCCAGGTGTTTCTAGTTCATGCTGACCATCAGGCCCATGATGCCATCTCGGAAGAAAGGCATTCCCAGCCCAGCTGTTTCTAGTTCATGTTGACCATCAGGCCCACGATGCTATCTCGGAAGAAAGACATTCCCAGCCCAGCTGTTTCTAGTTCATGTCGACCATCAGGCCCACGATGCCATCTCGGAAGAAAGGCATTCCAAGATCAGGTGTTTCTAATTTATGCTGACGATCACGTCCACGATGCTACCTCGGAAAAAACGCATTCCCGGATCAGGTGTTTCTAATTTTTCTGGCCATCATGTCCACGATGCCACGTCTGAAATAAAAGCATGCCCGGATCAGGTGTTCCTTGTTCATGTTGGCAATCAGACTCACGATGACCCTCAGAAACATCAGGCACACCTGTCACCTCTGATTCATGTGTGAAGACGTCGTGTCCTGTTGAAATATTTGTAGGCATCCCATCTTTCCAGAATTTAACCAATGTATCAAACATCTGAATGGGTGGTGGCATAAAATTTTAAGGACTGCGGTAATAAGTTGTACAATATGATATATGAGAGCACTTTCATCACAACTTGGTGTAAATTGTTGTGTGTGTTCTCCATAAGGTCTGCTTTGCAGATATCGTTCATCAGTCGTTACAGATCTGTAGTCAAAGAGATAATCACCTACCTCGAAAAAGAGTTCTTGTTTTGGGCGCGATAGAAAGATAACTAAAAGTAGTTAGCAAAAATCTACTATTTTAAATATCAGAATCTATGCTAATGTTCTTTCCTCGTCTGAATGATGCAGCCAATTAGAAAAATCGTTCGGTAAATGAAAGCCGTTGTTTTTCGCCTACGCGGAGGATAGTTTTTTGAGCTAGGTGGACAAACATGCGACTTGGAAGTGAAGGTTGGATTTGAGACCCCATTTTGTCGTGTCTACGTTGCCTGTTAGACTGCTACTATCGTTTGAACCAAGATTTGGCTACAAGTGTTAGGGTTGAGAGACAGAAGAGACTTACTGCAGGCGTTTATTGCTACTATAGTTTACAGTGTGATTTTTTTTCCTCTTTTCTTTTCTTAACTACAAGTCATTGTGGCTGGCGGTCACTTCCATGAGAACGAAATATTTTTTCATTCAGCATTAGATTAGGAAAAGTGTCATTTTAATTGCCTTAGATATGTCGAAAAGTGCAATGAGAATGTTCAAATTTGAAGCACACCGCATAATATTACATTAGGTTTTTTTTTTACTTATGACTCGTTAAGTATACGTATGTTTCGAATCATTGGCGCACACAATACACATCCATATATATATATATATATATATATATATATATATGTGTGTGTGTGTGTGTGTGTGTGTGTGTGTGTGTGTGTGTGTGTATTATTTTATATGCGCAGTACTTAGTGGAAAGCGCTCAATATCAATGATAGAGCTAAAATATTCAGTTGTATGGATACGAGTTTGTGATCCTGGGCGTTCACCTGTATGTATGTGTGCCTGTGTATGAGTGTCATCCCAATCAAAAACGGAAGTAAATTCCCACTCCTACCACCAAACATAGTCAATCAAGCATAAATTGATCTAATTTTAAAAAATAAACCAGTTTGTCTGAAGGACGCAAAGGCGTGAAACTCAGGGTAACAAATTCATATCCACACACCTATATATATATATTACTCTTTCAATGTACTGTTTATGAATTTTTACAATCGACTGTTTCATAGAAAATACCCAAAACTCCGCCGAATTTCAAATTAATTTCTTCGTAGATTGTTTAGACATTTAGATATTTATCAAACCTTAACCTCCCAAATATGCACGTGAAATTAACAGCGTCTAAGAATTTGAATGAAACCTGTCGTGTAAATGATTGGGGTTGTTGTAGCTTCTTTCTTTAATGTCGGTCTTATATCTAGAGACGAGACGCGTTAAATTTAAGCAACATCTAGCCGACACACTGGGGTAAAAATAGGAAATTGAAATGATACATATGACACACTCATATCCATCTCCCACCTCACTTCGTCACTTCGTTAATTTTACGTATACTTGATTAGGTCCGTCAAAAACGTGTGAATTTCTTTTCATTTTAGCTTTTGGAAGTAAAGTCTGATGATCCAGAACCATGTTAAAGGGGTTATGGTGAAATATAAATATATATATATATATATATATATATATATATATATATAGACTCTCTGAAGGCGCATCCAGAGATTAAATCTGGTACAAAGTGGTCAGCTGCAGAGGCCACACAAGAAGCAGAAACCAGCCTGCGAATCAGAGATATCATGGGCGTGATTCAGAAAAATCGGACTGGATTGGGTAACACGACACACAAATACTTCTCCAAGGAGAATGCAAAGGGAAAAAGGCGTATGAAGTTGAAGAAATCAAAATGTTCGAAGAGGAGCATAGAATAGCTACTGCTATTACTCAAGCTAAACAATGTAAGTGGACAACATGGAATGATATCGAGCCCATTAAACTTTCGTGGAATTCATTAATTGCGATGGAACCATTGGCGATATCGTTCCTTCTTCGATCTACATACGATCTTCTCCCAAATGAAACAAATCTGAAAATGTGGGGATACACAGATACAGATCTCTGTTTTTCGTGTCAAAAGACCGAGGTACCTTGCGTCATGTGCTTTCTGCTTGTCCACATTCGCTCCATATGTACACGTGGCGACACAACAAGGTATTAGAGGTGATAAGGGATCTAATAAGAACACAATGTGAGACAGCAAATCAACAGTTTGTGGCATCCAAGGAAA